GTTGCTGGATCAGCCTAAAACCACTACACACGTGAGACGTGCTAGAAGGGCATCCTTTTCAGACATGAGGGTAAGTTCACCAACACAAGATGCGTTTCTTGTAAATTGAAGACTAGTGGGCTCACAGTAAAAAGAAATTTGGTAACACCTGATGCCAGCAACCTGTGTACTTTTGGAGGTTCTGTTTTATCTCTCCATAAACACAACTGACTCTTTCTTACCCCAGGCCAGGTATTCTCTCGCACTGTCCCGTCATTCCAGCTATTAAGTTTTTATGCATCATCATCACTCCTTTAGGTCTCCCGGTAGAGCCACTGGTGTACATGACTAAAGCCAGGTCTGTAGGAACAGGTCTGCTTGGCAGAATGCTTGCTATAAAATGCAGGAGAGAAATTGTTATTGATTCTTACCTACTTTCTAAACTGTTATTTCTGTAATTAATCCATGTGAAAATGTCTGTAATCAACCAGCGTGAGAGAGGTTCTCAGCAGAGGTGACCACAGTGTGCTGCAAAGTGGTCAGTGGTGGGTGCAGATGAAGAGCGTAGTGCTCTGTTTTTAAGAGGAAGTGAGGCAAGGCAGATTTTGAAAGGAATGACAAATATTTGGGCACCTACACAATCTGGGTGATACTTTTGCTATTATGTCTTATAGCTGACTGAAAGTTTCAGAGAGAAAAACCTTCTGAAGACCGAGTAAACCTGCCAAGGGCAGGGAAGGAGCAAAATACAGTACTGAGAGAAACAACAGGTTGAGGAAAAAACACAAAACCAAAAAACACCCGCCCAGAAGGCTGCAAGTCAGCTTTTCTGCCAGTCACTCTTCCAAAGCCGAGGTTATAGAGCTAAGACTACTTTCTTTTTTGTTTTTTTAAATGAACCTTCCTCAGGTAAGCTGCTGGTTAGTGGAAAAGCAGTAAGCTTACAGCACTTGACTGTTGATTTTTATTTTAATACTTTGGCTTTTATTCTCAGGATGAAAATTACTGGCTTCCACAGCTTTCACACCTAGAGAGGCAGCAGAAGTGTCAGCAAGGGAAGCAGGGTTTGTAAGGGAAGCAAAACCACAAAACACCACCCCTCAGGGTAACTGCTGGTTTGCATCAGTACCTCAGGGTGATCAAAGATAAGCGGTTGTAATGAACTGTGCTTCTCTGCAAACAGCTCCTTTGCCAGTTTAGCTCCTCTTTTATTCAAGAGAAAGGAGATCTGGCTAAGCACAGACTGCTGGTTTCAGGAAAAGATATCATCAGGGTTGTTTTTTCCTTCCTTAAAGCAGATGTTTACAATCACTCCTGGCTGCTCAATGTAGCAAAGCATGCAATGGTTATTTCTTTAGCCCAAGGTGCTTTTTAGCTACAGATTGCTTAGGAAAAAAGATATTTCCAAGCCAATAAGCAAAAAAAACCCTCAAGTGCTTTCTCATCTTTTCTTAGGAAAAATAGTGAAAATAAGATGAAGAAAAGGTAAGAGTAGCAGAATATGGAACACTGCACCAGATTCTACTTTACTTCCTAAAGCAAAAGTGGAGTCTTAAAATGAAATTATTCTGGTTATGGTTTAGCAAGTTTTATTCTGAAATACCTGACGCTTGAACAAAGGGGCAGGACTATAAAGAGAAATCAAACAAATTTTCTGTTTATTTAAAGGAAGCCAGAAGATGAACTGGCAGCCTGCCACTGCCTTTGTGTGCAAGGGTGGGTATTTTTCTGCTACGTGTCCCTCTTAACCTAGGTCTGATTTCACTGTTAACATTGCTTGATTAGTTCTCTGTGAAATAATTCACTTACAGTTTTCTGGTTTGGCTCCCAGCTCTTCTACTGTCTGCATACTATGAATCTCCACATTTTCAGGGTATTCTGATTTGTTGATAGTCTTCTTGTCCACATAAATAATATGTTTAAGACAGGAGACTTGTGGCAATGCAGTCTATAGAAGAGAAATGAAATTTTTAGCACTGATTGCACTGTAAAATTATTGTAGGATTGCTTGTAGCAGGTGAAGCTGATAGCAAAGTACCTTAAGTTTGCTCTCCAGAAGTTCTACACTAGTGACCAGATATGATGCTCCACACTCATTGAGACCATAGGTTACTGCCTCTTCTCCCAGGGTGGCGTACAAGGTAACAACTGTTACAGTAAGGAGAGAGAGAGAGACCATGAAAGAAATGCTGAAGTAATACTAAATGCAAAAGCTCTTGCTTTAGCTTACTGGGAAGCATTGCAGGGGCGGTGGAGGGGGATAAAATTAGCTCAATGTGGAATTTTCTAATTTGGAAACAAAACAGCTTGCTTTTTTTTTTTTTTCCACATCAGAATTTTTTGCCACAAGAGACCTCTGCAACGAGGAGGACAGCTGTATAGGAAGTGTTTCTTTACCAAGAGGGTGGTCAAACACTGCAACAGGCTTCCGAGAGAGGTGGTCGATGCCCCAAGCCTGTCAGTGTTAAAGAGGCATTTGGACAATGCCCTTAACCTTTGGTCAGTCCTGAACTGGTCAGGCAGTTGGACTAGGTGATCGTCACAGGTACCTTCCAACTGAAATCATCTAGTCTATTCTACAGAAGAAGAGAAATCATCAAAACAATGAGATCCACCAAAGAATAATGCACTAAGCAATCACATAGGAGGCAACTGAGAAGGTGTGTTCTGTCCCTGAGCTCTCTGCGACCAGAACTCAGGGGGAGAGGTGACACTGAACATCGCAGGTCATGGCTTAAAGCTTCTACAAGCAGCTCTTTCAGCAGCGTCAGCTACTTTGCGTGTTCCCATGAAATCACTGATGGGGGCAAGGCAGAGAATCAGACCAAGGAATCAGCCTGTTTTTCATGTTGCCAGATTATTTTTAACCCTGACCGGATACAGTGATGCCGTTAAGTGCCTCACAGGCACCACCTCTTCCCATCATCTCTCTGTTGAAAAAACCAAACCTTCCCTTAGTATTGTCTGCTATCTCAAACGCTAACCTCTACAGACCATTAAAGGAATTTAATATTCCTGTGAAATAGGGTTCGCCTGGAAGGGACAAAACGAGAGTAATGTTATACAGCTGATTCTTGCAGCCTCTCAAAGCACCAGGATCCAGACCAAATTAACCATCATCCTCTCCTACTTTGACAGCATTGTCAGCTCTTCCATTATTGCCCTTTAACAGCCCCTCTGCACACTCTGCTGTGTGACCTCCTCCTCCTCACACAGTCAGCTACTACTAATACCGGGAGAAAAAGAGGCAGCCTAGTGCAGGCAAAACATACATAAGGTGGCAACAAAAATAAGCTGTGGGTCATGGTGCTTTGTGTGCAGACTGGGCATGTGAGTGCACAGTAATCTTTGCCACTTCACCAAGAAGTTTGTATGCATTGAGTCAGACGAGAGATTTTTTGACACCTTAAATAAAATTAAGAAAAAGAAAAAAAACCATATAGATAATTGTAATGAACTCGAGCAGCTTAAAAATGTCACCAAAAAACCCCTCAGACTACATATGATTTTGATTACTTTTAGCATTTGTGTCTCTTCTAATAACCATTTCATGTTTCGGATGCATAAGTCAGGACACAGACAGAAAATACTATAAACTACTAAAAACTATTCCACATTTTGGGAGGAGAAACACAACTACTGCCATCTTCAGAGTATTTTTAAAAAACCTGAATTGTAACCGTACCGTTCTATCATTCTAACATCTAGAATATTATTACAATAAAATCAGAAAAAAAACCCAGTCTTTTAAGTATGAGCAAGTTGATTTTAGGGATCTCTGCAATGCGTAGGATAGACTGGAAACTTCTAAGAACAGGCAGAGTAAGTTCATTAAATACTTATACAATCAATGACAGGATATGTAGATTCAAAATACTTAACAGCCAACCCAGTGCTGCAGAATGGTTCTAAATTCGTTAGAAGGAAACAAGTTCAGCACTCACGAGGAAAGTTGTACTTGAAGCAGGTTAGAGCCGTGATCATCCATTCTGCTCGGGTCTCACAGAATATGGCAACGGTGCTCTTCGGGGCGAGCCCCAGGGCAGTCAGCCCGCTCCCCAGCCTATTCACTTTCTCATTTACTTCTTCATAGGATAACCATCTGTAAGCTCCTAAAATCAACTGGTGAGGGGAAAAAAAAAATAATTGTGATGACAAGAAGCTGCTGGTACAGCTTTACAAGCTTATGTGAGTTGGTGCATAACGCTGTAAGCCCTCACACTGCTATTCATTAGAAGAAAAACAAATTGCGTCCATTTTTCGAGTAAACAGTGCGTCCTGCATTCTGTTATTCTTTAACTACTATAAAATGGATGGTTTATAACATAAGGTGATGATTAGGGAAGACCTCTAAGGAGAGTTCCATTGTTGAGGCAAGATGCAAAGCAGCTCAAAACCAAATCAGAATTAAGTACAAAATCCTAAGTTTTACCTTTTTGAACACTTTTCCATTTGGTTGCATTTCGTTTTCTTCACTCAGTACTTCTCTGGTCCCAAGACAGTCCTTCTTCCCAAACTTTGCTAAAGCATGGTCAAACAGCTTGTCCAACGTGTCTGCTCCAGGAATGTTTATGTTTGCTAATGAGTCAAGATGGGTGACAGAACGGTAGGGGCTTCCAGGTTTGTCCGAGATGGGTTTAGCTTTTAAACGTTTTGCCATAGCCTTTTTCTTCTTAGCATTGGTAAGAAAATACCACGGAATGAATACAAGCATACTGTACACAGATATTAACAAGTACACAGGCAGCAAGAGAACGGCACATACTTCTAGCCTAAGTTTCATTGCAGGTATTTTAAAAAAGAAAATCTCTTATTGTGGTCTGAAGCTGGCAAGAACAAAGCAGCAGCACAGTACGGTGTAGGAAGAAGCAACAGTAAGCGAAGCTTAGGTGGTTCTGTTTCAGAGCAGCTGCTAAAATTTTAGTAACCTTTGAGAGCCAACAGTGGACACCTGTGGGCGAAGACCAGAGCCAAGCAGACAGCAGGGGAAAAAAAAGAGAGAGAGAGAGAGAATTAAATTAGTAATATTGCAGTCAGTCCATTAGTTTTAGTCATTCTAAGAGTTCACATCAAATGCACCAAGACAAGGAGACTGAAGTAGCTGACGTGAGGCGCGTACGCTGCACGGTACAGCAGTGCGCTGCTCGCAAGAGGAAAGAGGATCAATCTTTTCCATACTTGTTTGCTGCATCCACAAATATTTACCTGTCAAAGATTTTTCCCCCGCTCTCTCTGTTTGAATAGTCCAGGGCTGTTGAGATGAAGTCTGTCCTTCACATCATAATATTGTGTTTAAGCTCCTTGAGTAACGCTACAATTGTGTAATTATGGGAAAGGTCAACAGTTGTTTTCCTCGTAAATATTTGTACTACAGAGGTAAGATCCAGGAGGTTTCTTTACTGCTTTTCAGAACATTAGATCAACTTATATTCAGATAAAATGTATCTTGATTCAGAGTCCTCAAAAGTCTACATGTTGTAATCTTAAAAAAAAATGATAATATTCCAAAATTGCTTTATTAACTTCGCCCCAGCAACTGAATTTTTAATCTATTACTTTTCAGTTATGAATGCCAGACTCTTGGAAAGGGATTACACAGATTTGCTTTTCCCCTTCCAAAATCTACTTCAATAGATGCATTTCAGAACTCCAGGTATGGAAAATGGAATCCAATTTGACCAATTTAATCCCATTTAAAATAAAACACAATTTGGCAAGACTCTGCCTGCATGTCAGAAATCCTTCTTCATTATGGAGAACTGAGCCTGAATAAAGATGGAAGGTGAGCGGGAGAAAAACAAACGCATCACAGCAAACCGGAGTTGTGGCTCGCCCACTGGTCTGGAACTAGTCTGCACTGGCACATAACAGATGTTCTTATCTTCCCTGGATGGCACGCAAACACGGCACGCAAACACATCGTAGGCGATGCACGCACGGGACAACGAAAGGCAAAGGTGCCCCAACAGGGAGCGGTACCTCGGCCACGCCGGGCAGCGAGCAGCGCCAGTGCTTAGTGCAAAGCCCCGTCTTTCGTGGACAGAACCCCATAAACGGAGTGGATGGGAACAGGGAAGGTTCCAGGGCTCCATCAGGAATTGAAAGAACGCGGGCACACCTCAAGACATACCTTTATTAACATACTTGCCACCCTCAGGCGACGAGGGAGGCTACAATTAACATTTCAGGTTAAACAAGACAACTGCGAGTAGCAGCGTAACGAGTCTATTAATAGGTTGTGGGGCTTTTTAATAAGAATTCCGACATCTGCAGTTGTGCTGCAGCCAATATCAACAGCATTTAATGTAATGGAAGATTAAGAGATCTGCAGAGACTTAAAATAACACGTTAATTTTTTTAATCAAATCTATAGAATAGAATTACTATTGAATGTTAGTGCTAAACGAAGCTCAGACTTGTTCAGAAAAGAGTATTCTGGATATTTCTTTTTATAAAAAGTGAGTACTACATTTTTTTCAAAATGTATATGCTTATTCTGCTCTAGTTAACCTCATCATCATCAACTGCTCAGCAAACAGTCAAACCTCAGCAGAAGAGATAAGATTTTACTTCCCTAAGCTCCAGTTCTCTAAAATGAAGGTTTACTGGTTTATATTACAAATCTTGCATGATATTTTCATTCCAGTTAATTCAGTGCTCCAAAAGCAGCAGTTGAGCTTGGATTTAAACCAAAAGCCAGCCATAGTGCCAAGACTACAGGAAGAAAATGTCAGTGCATGCCCAAGAGTAGATACAGTGCTAATGTTAAAATAAACCCCATGGAGAACTCTCACTGCTCTCCAGCTTCCAACAAAAAGCCCACGAGCAGACGCAGTGATTTGGAGAAAAAGCAAACTTGGTGGAATAACGCAAACAATTTAATATCATGAGACAGAACTATTGCTTTTATTCAGGCTGAGTAGTAGTGTTTTCAGAAGTAGTCTACTGGTAAAAACTACTGGCTAATAATCAAGAATTGACTAATTTAGGAAGAGAGAAGAGGAATGGGCTCATATTTACTTGAATTCTTTAGTCAATATTCTGGACTGACCAATACTATAAGAAGACATTTACTTTAACTTTTCCGTTCAGTTTAATCTCCTGTACATTAATTTTATAAATTATATTTAAGCTATTTAGCAGCTTGTGTAACACTGAACAACCACAAAATTTTCAGTGTTTTCTGTGTACATGATATTACAACAGATAAAAAGAACTGAAAATCATAATTTCACACATTGATTTGCTTACTACTTTCTAATTCAATCTATATTGACTAATGGTATCTATTAATACATACTTATTGCAATTATCTCATCTTTCCACTGCTATTTTCCACTCTCTCTTATTGCATCTGGGCAATAGTGAAATGAACTGACATGTCTGGAGTAAGAGCTGTCCCCTTTTTTACCACATCTAAATGACCTGCTCCTCTTGCCATCTGAGCATCTGAGATGCAAGTAACACAATAAATTGTAACAGCACCATCAAGATTTAAACAGGTATTTCACAGCATCCAATCCACATTTTAGTACTGATTATCAACACTAAGTCTTTAAGACTGAACTAGGTTGCAGAATGGATTTTAAGACTATGTGTGAAAAGAGGACTGTTTGAAAAATTACAACCTAGTGATGTCATCCAATAATCTTTTCTACATGCATGAGATGTGGGGGTTTATATGTGAGATTATCTTCAAGCTGACTAAGCAACAAAACTCAATTCGGTGCCGAACACGAACTTAAGGACTTTTACACTTTACTGGAACAACTTCCTGACATGCTAAAAAACCTCATCAGAATGTTCAAAATACTGCCCGAAATAATAAAGTAATGCTAAAAATGTCTGAATGGGAAAGAATGTTTGTTTTCAACTAAAACTGGCACCCTGTTGAAATCACTTTTAACATTTGAATTTTAAGTATCTGTACAAACACACTTCGTACACTTGCAGCCAGTTATGCCAAAGTCCACATTAGCGAAAGTTAAAGCTTGCATTTCCTTCATTTTGAAATTTCAGATTTGTTTGAAATACTATTAGAAGTGTTTATAAAAACAGATAACTTGGAAACCTTTTAGATGACCACAAATGTGTACAAAATAGCTATCTTGACAAAAATCAGTTGTAATTCTTAATAGACATCAGCTGGAAAAAGTTAGTAAGTCCTAAAAAGACAAATTTGACTTTTTCCTTTGAACATATTCATAGAAAAACTGACACACACACACACAAAAACACAGATATACTTACAAGGTATCTGACAGTGATAACTGAGTTTTTTTCAGTGTTGATTCGATCTATATTAAAACAGAAAAAAAAGAAATAACATATTAGAGGTTGGGAATTTTTTTGCCTTGCAGAAAGGAAGAATCTTTAGAATTTCTACCCTGATGCTCCTGAAGAATAGCCTCTGAATTTAGATGAAGGTGGCACTCGCTGCCCATGCAAGAGGAGAGCAATTATATTATCGGAAAAGACCAGGCTTGCAAACTACAGTGTACAGATAAGACAAAGCTACTCAAAAGGAGTTTAATTATTATGGGAACCCCCCCTGTTTATACATGTTCTGAATAAAGCTACGAACACAAGCTTGATTTAATAAAAAAAAAAAAAGGCAAGAAAGAGACTTTTGGATTCCATATGGTCCATTCTTCTGTCTCAGGGCAGAAGCAGTAAGACCTTTATCATTCTTGATGGATGAGCATCAGCAGAAACTTTAACTCAAGACTATCCATAGCACACACTGCCCAAAAGAGTGACAGGGAACATGAAACAGAGTTTGGGTAGGGAGGTAAGAGGAGGGTTTAGAGAACAAAAGCATGGTTATGTAGGCAGCGAGGCTTCACTGGTCCCATGACCAGTGATAAAAAAGATGCCTATATGGAGCTGTACACATATGGCTTCAAAAAGTCTACAGCGTAATTGTTCTCTTCAACTTCTTGGGTTTATACACAGAAGGCTTTTAACTGATGTTTAACCTAATTATGTTTTATTAGCCCTCCCCATGAGTCTGAGATTTCAATCAAAGTACCAGTTTTTATGGACTGTATCTGTGTTAAACATCTCTTGTGAAATTCTCCTACCAACATTTTCTCTTGAAATACGAAATAAATAAGAAGTGCAATAATGTTTTCAGTGTTACTGGCACTTGCATGTGGCTGAATAAGATTTTCATCCATAACAGGACCATCCCAAACTTGCGCCAAATAAATATTTATCATATTTTAAATACACTGCACAACAGACCGACATATGGAACTTGCAAAAGTACCTCCATACCAATTCCATTTGGTTAAAAGCTGAACTGAGCTATTCAAATTACACCTTATGCCTTTAATCTCTTATTTAAGTTTAATTAGACTTTAAGTGAAAGGATAAGATGTAATGTTCACATCGATGCACCACCAAGGATACCTTCAAGGCAAACCAACTACACATTACTGAAGTTTAACAGTTATGTTCTCAGTAAGCTTCCTCCTTCCTCACAAAGAAAAGAAAATGCAGCAATCCCGTGAAAAATCTCTCTGTATCCAAATAGAACCGTTCTGTAATACCGGAATATTTAGAATATATAATATTTTATATTGACTCACAAAGTCCATTCTTTCTCGTAATTGTGCAACAGCCTATTCAGACGCTTATCTAGCTGTTTCGGAAACAGCAGAGCTTCCAGTTGATGTAGGAAATGCACATTAATTCCCAGCAACAGCAATCAACGTGCATCAGGCATGACTACAGCCTAAGGGAAAAACCAAACCCAAACAGATGTCGCTTCTCCCCTAG